TTGCCGTTGAATCCAAGCCGTCTCGCTATCCTTGCTCTACTGCCGCGCAGTCTGTGCAGCCAGGCTCTGCCATCCGGCTGCATGGGTTACCCTCGCTCTGGCAGCATAGTGCGGACGGGCTATTGCTGCATTCTAGCGCCAAACGACCCTTGGGCTCTCTTCGGCTTCATTCGAAAGTGCTGTTGAGCATATAGAACAGTCGCTGCACTACGGCACAGCATCTGCGACCAGCCTGTCTTCTTGTACCTCGTCCCGCCGTGCCGTCCTTGCACGCTGACACATGCACCAGCGGGCTGGACAAGGCCCCATCTCCATCGCGAACCCGGTATTTCGCTGAGTGCATACCGTCCTGTCGTTTTCGATTGTACCCTCGACGTCATCTGCAGAACGCATCAACCACACTGCAGCCCTCTCCGGACTCGACGAGGTGAAAGAGCAAAATCAACCAGGCCTGTGTCAACAAGCGAGAAACCTTAGCTTCCAAAGCGACCGTGCCTACAGAAGAAGAAAGAAGCCCAGGCGACGTTCGATTGGCTGCACTAGAGCTTGTTCGCATGATTCACGCCGCCGCTCGTTCATCTCTTAGCACGCTAGCTCGGAGAGACCCTACAGCACTGATCGGCCGCGCTCGGCACCAGTTGCACTCGAGACTAGACGGGAAGCGACGAATCACCGTCGAAGCCGCCACGGAAGCACGAGTGTAGAGGAGCCCCGATTGAGACGACTACCTCGAGGTACCCTTGCCAGCTCTTCTATCTTGTGTCTTACTCTTGTGCGTCTTCCTTCATGAGCACTGCGACGTCGTCGCCCTCGACGCTCTTCCTCTGACCTTCACTTCTAATTCCATAATATTACCAGATTACCCTAGACTTACCCCCCGACACGTCATCGCTGCTTGACTGGTCGACCAGCACGACACTAATACTCTCGAAGCCGTTGGAAACGGCCCTCTTTGTTGTAATATTCGGAGCACACCAGGGCACTCTCGACCACGGTTCGGTACCAGACCTGCGTAACCTCAGTTCAATCGCAAACTCCTCTTCGACATCAAGCTGGTGCTATGCCTTGCGGAGACAGTGCGGAAAGTACAGTGTTCTACGGGTTCCACACTGCAGGTGCTGAGCGACGCAGGCGCAGTACACATTTTTTGTTGTTGCTTATATCTGCGCCTATCTCTGTTGGAAGTCACGGTCAAGGGTGGAGTCAACCTTCTCTCCGCAGGCGGGCCTTTAGTTCGGTCCCGTTGGAAGGCGAGCGCCAGATCCACTCCCGCGCGCGCCATTCTGATATCGACGCTTTCAAGAGGTGCCTCCAATTTTGAGAAAGGCAGCGCATACCACACGAGGACACGCATTATTATCGACTGTGCTGGACTGGAACAGTCAGAGCAGGCAGCCGCGCTTTGACGGTACTTTCTCCGAAAAGGGTCCTCCACCCATGGAACGGTGATCCACTCGCATTTTCATCGCTCATTACCACTACAGTCACTGGTCACGCAGCACCTTCGGGCGGCACTGCACTCCGTAGTGACTCAAACCTTTGTTCGATTGGTCACCTTTCGCGTATTTCTCTCAAAGGTCGCTAGCCGAATTTCCAAATTCTCTTATGTTCTCAGTATTTTTCGACCGGACGACTCCATCTCACCTCCACATTCTCGGGCGTCTCTGAGACTTGATCCTTGGGTTCCTTACAACTCGATTACGACCGCCGACCTCTGCTACAGAGGGCCAGACCATGAACATGAACATCCCAACCATGTATCCGCACCACCCGATGCCGCCGCAGTATAACCAGCCCTACTATCAACAGCACATGCCTGTCACACTACCAGTCGCCAGTCAAGGCCCCGAGCCTTTGAGCCCGAACAATTGTTACCTGTCCGTCCGCCAGCAGCCTAAAGAGGCACTGGTCGCGGTCAAGAGCAAGGAAAAGTTCCGGAAGCCTGTGGATCCTCCACCCATTCTCCAGCTCAACCTTCGGGATGGCGTTGACGCCTCGAACAGCTTCTTACAAAACCCCTACATCTTCCTCAGTGCATCCCTGTACAAAGCGGACAGAGATGAGCCCGTCGAGCACACTCCCAATGAATCCATGGCCGGCACACTGGTGTCGTCCCTGCATCGTCTTAAGGATGTTAATAACAAGGACGGCGGTTTCTTCGTCTTCGGCGATATTTCTGTCCGGATTCAGGGCAGCTTCAGACTTTGTTTCAGCATGTACGAGTTCCACCCTTCACGTGGGGAGGTACAGAACCTCGGCTCTGTACTTAGTGAGAAGTTCGACGTCGTACTTCCCAAAGACTTCAAGGGTCTCGAAGAGTCGACGTATCTCTCGCGGGCGTTCTCCGACCAGGGCGTTCGACTCAGGTTGCGCAAAGAAGCTAGAGGGATGATGAACAACAAGCGTTCGTTCCAGGCAGACTCAGAGCCTACCTCCCAGGCACAGATCGCCCCAAGCTACGAGTTCCAATCGTCTAAAAGAAGAAGGGAAGAGTACACTCTACCCTTAAACCCAGAGCCGACCACACAGGCACCCATCGACCACTCCGCCTACGAGTACGAGCACTCCAACAAGAGGAGGAGAGAAGACTCTGGCTACATCCTGCCTACCAACTTAGGCTCTGACCCCCCACCTCTGCCAGCGTACCCAAATAGCATGAATTTGTACGCTTCCTCCACTCTCGCACAACCACCACGGATGCCATTCCACCCAGGTCATTCAGGTCATCCAGGTCATCCAGGTCACCCAGGTCACCCAGGTCAACAGGTGTACAACTCCATGAACTTTAACATGGTACCCTCGTACGTCGATCATCAAAATGTTGATCCATGGGATCAGAAGATTCAACAGGAGACAGATTATAAGGTCTAGGAAGACCGCGATCGACTTCCTCCATATCGAGATTTTGCGATCGACTTGCCCGAGGTTTGGCCCGATATCAAGATTCAACAGGAGACGGATTATAAGGTCTAGGAAGACTCCGATCGACTTCCTCCATATCGAGATTTTGCGACCGGCTTGCTCGAGTTTCGCCCCGATATTAAGATTTTGTCATGCGAGGACGAGGCAGAGGAAGAATTCCCCTGGTCGAAAATATGATGACTAGGCCGAGTTCACATAATAAGCACACGTTGGAGAAGGTATCGCATCACGCGTCCGTCTCGTTCATTCAGTTTTCGATGGGTATTTGACTTAGCTGTCTCAACCCTTTTTACACGGTCGGTTTGCGCGTGGTTTTCGGACGTCGTCGTCCCCACGCTTTTCTTTATCAGCATGGTGTTATGACGAGGCCATTATGCATTTGGGTACGGAGTCATTAATCACGACAACATGATGTCGTCTTTCTTTTTGTTCCTTTCTTATACATCGCTACGGTACTAGGTATCACACTGTCAACGGAGAGAGTAGTAACCCTACCCTCCTTGGGATCAAAAAAACACACCGCCCACCGAACTCAAAATACAAACAATTCAAAATTACACACTGAATCCCTATGAGTGATGCGCCTGATGATGAGACGTGCCTACCGCATCGCAATCCCCCGATGCCGTACCTGCAGCCGCAACATACACTACCAGCGCGCGCAAGCCCTGAAAGATTTGGAAGACAAAGAGGGCCACTCGGCTCGTTACCACCGTCACATGCGAAAGCGAACGTGTAGCGTAGATCTCATTGCGCACTTCCAGTCTCAGACTCGCGCTTGAACTAGTGATCGACAGCCGCGAAAACCTGCCTGGTGACATCGGGCGATGCCGTGCAGTAGCAACACACCGGGGTTTCCCGTCACAGCTGACGAAAAATGGTACGAGATTCTTGTGCGGGCAAAAATTTGTGCCTAACTTAACACAGGCCATGCTCATGCGTCGATACGAAGACGAGATCTTGTGCTAGCTGGGTTCGTGGTTTCCGTGTTGGGCTGCATTCGCATCGCGCAGTGAGGATGGAGAAGGTTTGGGGACGGTTGAGTGACAGGATGAACGTGTCGCAGGCTCATCCGGTGGACGAGAGGCCCTTCCTTCGAGGGAACAGGTCATCGAGACCGTGGAATACATTTCTCTCGAGCCGCAGTCCATCCCGTCTCTCTACCAGACACTCCCATCTATGCAAACACGTTACACTACTCCCACCACAACCCCCATCTGCTTGCCCCAGCAAGAAAAAAACTGGTAATGGTTCGGTTCGCTCCAGCCCATACTCGCACCACATCCCCCCTCCCTTCACTGCCGGACCCAACCCAAGCTATCCAGCCCCTCGCCTCGCTTCCCCCATCGCGTGCTTCGCGTACATTCGCGCGTCTTCGCGTTTAACCCAAGCCACCGCGCCGCCCGTCAAGCTCAAACGCCACACAGCACCCTAAACCTTTCCCACGATCGCCGTTTCACACTCATTGCCTTGGGGATCGTTGGGCCCCACTTTTCGCGTCGGCTGTATGGCTGGAAAGGGCATGGTTGGTGAGATGACGCGCATGAGTTGTAGGTAACGTGACTTAGTGCGTGGTGCTAAGGGACGGTTGGGCCGAGAGAGTTTGGGGGCTTGGCAGAGGGGCAGGTGGTGATTGGTGGGGGTTTGATGATTGTTGAGGGGTTGAAAGGGGGTTTGCTGAGGGAGGCGTGGTTGGAGGGGGTGATGGGGTGGTTGTGGCGTGGTGGGCAGGATGGGGTGGTTTCACGGTGGGAGGAGAAGAGGGAGTTCAGGGTGCATTAAAGTTTGTGGTAAGTGCTTGATTTGCTACTTGTGCGATTGAGCAAGACGACCAGCGTGTGGTGCGTTCTCATGATTCGTATCTGAAGGAAAAGCTCATATGGTAGCCTGAAGGATACGCAACGATCATAGTCGTGCCATTACATCAAAAGCCACCAACGTATTCTCCAAACCTTGTACGCCATACTCCACGCAGCAACACTCGCGACGATTCCATACCAAGCTTACAACGAAATAAGCATCGCTACCGAATACCGAGTGTAAATGCGTATACGTAATAAGGGGTGGGTTCTCCATGCTTATGCAGTGATGGTCGCGGACGCATAGACGACGCCATCGACAACAATCGAGCACTTTAGGCCAGACGACTTGTAGAGCAACTGAAGTTCATACTCGAGCTTCAAATGTTTGCCGGTACCAGGAACATGTCGTGAAATGAACTTGTCGATGGGTACACGGCCCATATCAGCCCTCAGAGTGGCGACCTTCTCAACCTGCGTAGCAATGTCAGTGAACGTCTCAAGACTTGAGGTAGAAACGACCATGACTTACGTCTTTGTCTACACGCGCTGGACCCTTCTTTGCCCTGGAAGCGAACAGATCGATCCTAATCACCCTCGACTCTCCCGACCAAAAGAAGTGCTGGAACGACCATTTGGCATGCACCGTGGCTTTGGGTGCAAGCGCCTGATCCTTCTTCAGAAGCCATTCCATCTGGTTATTGGCCTTCTTCACACCCGTGAAGTCGCAGACAAACGCATCCACCTCATGGTGTCTGCCTTGGATGAACGGCGGCGAGAAAGTGAAGCCAAAGTGACGAGGGCATATCAAGTTCTCCGTTGTTGCTGGAGTCTGGACCTTGAAACCCTGTGTTATTGCTCCTCGGACTACGGCGGACCATCTGCGCAGAATTAGCAAGTGTGAACATGAAGAAGAGAATGGTGATCACATACGCATAAGCTGGTCGTGTCACTCCCACATTCAGGGCTTGGGAGAACTCGGTAATTTTGCTCAGCACGTAGGGGCATTCTGCCATGCCTCCTACGAGGAAGATGTGCTAGAGAGATCAGTAAATGGTCGGAGGCAATGAGAAAAAAATACTGAACTGAACACATACCTTGATGATCACGTTGTTCTTATTTGCTTCGCCAATCTGCTTCACGATCTCTTCGTACGCAATTGAGAGAGTTTCATGGAACATAGACTTCATATCCTCGCTGAGATAATTAGAGCATGTTCATCTCAAGGGTCACGAAGACTCACGCCGTGATGGCTATCTCGCCGTCGCAGATACCTCGCGCCTCGTCGTCTGCGATTCCAGCGAGGAGGCCGGGCAAGCGGATGAAGAAATTCTCTGTGCCAGAGAAGACGGATTTTGCCTCCAGTGAAAAATCTTCGAGCATCCTGGTCGCTTTCTTCCCGAGCATGTGGAAGGGTATATCTTCACTCGTATGGTCGGTGACCGCGATGAAGTTGGCAGTTCCCAAACTGAGTTCGAGGTATCGGAAGAAGGCTTTATCGACAGTGTTACCACATCCTTGGCGACTACTACCGTCTGTAGCTGGCTCGACAACGATTGGCTGTAGTTGGCTGACGTGATAGGAGGCTGAAACGTTGTCGGAAAAAGTCAGTATGTCTCATATGTAGTTGGTGCTAGGAGATCTTACCAAGGTCGATGGTACCTCCACCCATGTCAACGACCATCAATCCGTCCTCAAGTGCGAAACTATCTCCAGTGGGAGTTCCTTGCAATGTCTTTATGGTATAGATCGCCGCCGCTTCAGCCTCGGTCGTGCGCACGAACCTCACCAACCTGCCGAGCTCGGTGTAGTAGAATCCAGCCTTGCGGCTTGCTAGCTCATATCGGTGAAGCGTTGCAGCTGACCACAGTGATGGGTACGTGATGACTACTACGACAGGATATCCCCGCCAGATGCTCTTTCCGTACCGGTCGTCCAGCTTCTTGAAGAGGTGAAGCTTGATATTGCGCAAATAATCCTCAATTATGTCGAGAGGTTCTTTTTCGGCATCGCAGGGTGCGTTCGAGATCTTCCCCTTCATTTCTGGGAATTGACATCGGGTTCCGTTCTGGAGCAGGAGCTTCAACCACCGATGGCGTGACACGTCGGGAGGGATTTGAAACCCCCACAACTGCGCATCTTCTTTGTAAGAGATCTCGGAGGGGACCTTGTCATTCGTGCTAACATTGGTACCGGGTGAAGGCCAATCGTTGACAACCTCGGTGTGCCCTTGAGGAAGACCTGTTGGATCTGTCTCGCAAAACGCGACGCCTATAGTAGTCAGTACAACAAGTTCGTTGCAAGTGAGGTGTGCGATACTTGCCAGTGAAGGTGGTACCGTAGTCGACTGCAATGATGAGATGCGGCGGCTCATCCATGGTCGCGTCGGTACGTATTACGGAACGGTACCGTGGTAGGGTGTGTAGGTACTAGGTAGGAGAATTGTAATGGGGTTGTGGGAATCGGTATGTGGCTACCGAAAAAGGCTGACGAGAGGTGAGAGAGAAAGCCAGAGTTCGGTCGAAATTTTTTCAGCCAGTGTGGTGAGAGGTGAGTGAAAAGCGGCAGCTGCCACTCGTGGGCTGCGTTCGCACCTTCCTCACTTTGCACACACCGCTCAACCCACCGACCAGAAATAGTGAAGGCACGGACAACTCCTACTTTTTTTAATATAAAGGTACAAATATAGAAACTGAATTGGCAAAAACTTTTCAGAGTAAGGAATAACATTATTAGTTCCAAGATATAAAAAAACATCATGATGGCGACGGCTTCTGTTTGCAATGCAGACAACATTGAGAGTTCCCATGGCCAAGAAACGAGTAGCGCAGCAGTATCAAGCGCTGAAGATAGTCGACAGCCGATGAATGAGTCAGATGAAAGAAGTCCTTTGGACGCAACTATGGGTACAGATCGCAGCAATCGGCTTGGTACGGAAGTACAGTGCAAAGCTCTACAAGAAGAGATGGGTCGCAATCGAGAAGAACAGAGAACAACGAACCAAGAGCGCAGCGGCTTCTTCAAAAGCCAAGAAGAGACCGGCACCAGACACGCTCGGACAATCACGAAGAAGCTCTACCCCCGCGAAGAACCTATTGAGCTTGAACATACCTACCTACACTGCGAGAATACGACACCCCTCCTGGAAGCGCCTCTGCGTGACTCAAGAAATGTCACAAGCAGATTTATACGAACAAAAGAAGTGCACCATCCTATAGCCACAGCGCGGCCTGTGGAGGTGGAAGTTCTTACTGACGCACAATTTGTACAGAACTTCCGCGCACTGGTATCGGCAGTCAGATCCTTGAGTCGTCAAATCCATAGCGGTGACGGGAACAACATCGTCGGACTTCTCGGGGTACCGGAGTTGCTGAGCAACGTGTCAGCGGAACACTGGAAAGGTCGAGCTCGAACGAAACGTTTCGTAGAGGCTTGGATGTGGTTCACCTTGATCGCACAAGTCTTTCGAGACCCCTTTCAAAAATTCGGCAAGAGTGGCGAAGGCTTAGCGAAGTCCTGGATCGAGATGTTCGGACAAGAACATGATCACGGATGGCCGATACCATCTATTGAATGCGAGACATGGCGACTGCGAACTATGGACTACTTGGCCGCTTGCTCTGGTCTCGCTTTAATCAGCATAAATCAGCAAGACCGTGCAAGGAACATTTCGAACAACACCGATAGTACCGCTCGAGCAACGGTCACTCACCATATCCATCAGCGCATTCAAAAAGTCCGCCCAGAAATGGATCTCTCGAGCGTTCGTAGCATCGTCGATAAGGCTTTCGCCCTTGCTAAACATATGTCAAGTCAACAGTCGCGGCTGCAGATAACGTATCCGTCGACGGGAATGTTGTTCGACCAGAACAACATGCTGTCCGTTTCTGATATTGATAGCGAAGAAGATGAGAAGGGTCTAGTGGCGTTTGTTGTCAATCCAGGATTGACGAAATGGGGAGATGCACAGGGGAGATATCTCGATGAGCGCTTGGACATTGTTCGTGCTCTGGTCCAGGTGGAAGACGGATCTTAGTGTCGAGATGCCGACTGCGAATAGAGCGTCAGTGAAACGACCAAAATTCGTTCGGTGTTTTTCAAGATTGCGTGGAACTTCTATCCACATGCAAAAAGACACACTGAAAGGCTGGAGCAAAGCAAATTACTGTAGTACCGGTTGAAATACAGTTGTTTATATGGTGCCCCCGTTTTTCGTCTGATTAGCAGAGTGCGATCCTACAAGCTGTTAATGTCGCCAGATGTCACAAAAGAGGAAGCCATGTCAAAAGAGCGTATCGGATGACAGGAGCGCAAGCGCGCAGGTCGAATCGTTCGAGACGAGAGTGAATGTTCACGTCAGAGGCGCGTCCGAGCGAAGCCATTTCCGCGGCTAGCGCCGAACGCGTCTCGGGCATCCTCGATACCACACGCATACGAGCTGTGCAAGCACCTGCACCCACGCATGCCAATTGCCCTTCTGCCATACTCTTTATTTTAATCACGTCTTCTATTCTTCGCCCCGCAAATGCAGAGCATACCATAAGCTTCACGCCGCCCCACCAGCCCCTCTCAAATCCTCCCGACGCGTCTCGCAGCGCGTTTTCTCGACACCCGCACGCAGGGCAAACCACTCTACCGCCGCCGCCATGTACCTTCCGCGAAACCTCATAGCCCACCTATACCAGAACCTCATAAAACGCACACATGCCGCCGCACCGCCTGTTTTACTCCTCGTCGCCCTCGAACCAGACGCGCTTTGTGCCTGCCGAATCCTCACCGCGTTATTGAAGCGCGACTACATACAACACAAGATCCAACCGATAGCCGGATATGGAGACCTATCACGGGCGGCAGAAGAGCTGGTACGGCCGATGCGGACAACGGACGGTGGAAGTGGAGGCGTCGTAATATGTCTGGGCGTTGGAGGCATGGTGGACATGGAAGAGATACTAGGCCTGGACGTGGATGAGGATGGCGAGGGTGGCACTGGCGATGTCGAGGTCTGGCTTCTGGACGCGAGACGGCCGTGGAATCTGACGAACGTTTTTGCCGCCCCCATAAGTCAGGACCCCACAACGGGAGAGTTTGTGCGGAGACAAGCGGGGGTGGACAAGGGCAAGATCACGCAGTCATACCAGTCGTCACGAGGTGGAATCATAGTCTTTGACGACGGTGACATCGACGAAGAACTACAGGCAGAGCGTGAAGCATACGCTGGGCTTGAGGAGATGCCAGAGGTGGGGGAAGAAGACGACATCAGCGACAACTCGGACGACCAGGATGATGAGGAGCCGCCGTCTGGACAAGCACCGAAGAAGAGGAAATCTTGGGGCGAGGAAGACGACTCTGAGGATGACATGACAGATGACGAGCGGCCAGCACAAAGACGGAGGAGTAATTCGGTATGTATAGTCGATGTTCAGACGGAGTCTTTACTAACATTACCTAGGGAGGCTCAATACCATCGTCACCCGAACCGAGACGGCGAAGAGGCCTGCTAGCAGCGCAACAACTAGGCGGCTCCTCCGACTTTTCGCGTTCAGACTCCCGCAGCCGCTCCGCATCCCCATCAGTAGCCGCACCGAAAGAGAAGTCGTTAAAAAGCCTACGAAGGCAGCTGATCAAGAAGCGGAATAAGTACGCATCCACGCTCGACAAATACTACGGACTCGGTACCTCCTACTCAGACCCCGTCTCTTCTCTCGTATACAACCTAGCATCGGAACTCGGCCGCGAAGACAATGATCTGCTATGGAATGCCATCGTTGGTGTCAGCAGTCTGGAACTATATGGGCGGACAGGGAGCGGTGTCGGCTTGAACCCCCTCTCAGCACAAGGTGGCTCAGCAGGATGGAATGGCAACCGAGGAGAGAACATACGCTCTGTCCTGCGAGACGAAGTACGACGACTGAATCCTGTCACAGACGCTTCAAGTGTGTCCCGCAATGCAACAATGGGCGAAGTGTGGGGTGTCATCCCGACGAGCGCCCTCTCAGCAACCGACAAGTCAATCCGCCTCTCCCCCGAGCCGCGTTTCCTTCTCCTTCGGCACTGGTCTCTCTACGAAAGTATGCTCCACTCGCCTTACCTCTCCGCCAAACTACACATCTGGAGCGACGCAGGGCAAAAGCGACTTGCCAAACTCCTCGCCAAGATGGGTGTCTCGCTCACCGAATGCAAACAAAGATACACCCACATGGACATGGAGCTCAAGCGTGGTCTCCGCGAACGCCTTCTGAAATTCGCTCCACAGTATGGTCTCGATGGCCTAGTACCACCAAAGTCAGGTACAGGTGACCCCAAAGACGGATGGGGTTTCGTACGCTGCTGGGGCTGGAAAGCATGTCTCTCCGCCATCGACGCCGGCGTAGTCCTAGGCGCCATTCTCGAAGTCGGCGACGCAAAGAACCTCAACCAATCCGCCCTCGACAGCTCCAACTTCGTCGGAGCCAACGACCACACCGAGATGCCCTCCTCAACGCAAGAACAACAAGACCTCGCCCAAGAACACATCACCAGCCGCTTCTGGACCGCCTACGATGCCCTCGGCGACATCGACCGCCTAGTCGAGCACATCAGCACAGCCCAGCATCTACACCGCGCAATCCTCCGCACCGGAACCGCCCTAATCGAAAAGAAACAAATCCGCCACCTCCGCGCCTTCCGCATGGCCGTCGTAAAAGAAGGCCCCGACGTCCAACTCTTCACCCACCCGGGCGCCCTCACCAAACTCGCCCTCTGGATTGCCGAAGCCATCGTCGAACTCAACGGCACAAAGGGCAAAAACAAAGGCAGCGAGCTCGTCATGGCGGGTCTTGACGACTCCCGCGGCCTCTACGTTGTTGTCGGCCTTGGCGGCGGCGGCGCGACCGAATCTGCTAAATCCCGCCTTCAGAAACGCGAAGCTAAACTCAAAGCCAAGGAAGCCAGACAGGCGCAGAAGGCTGAGGCGAGAGAATCTCGCCGCAAAGCACGTGTCGCGCGGAATCTAGCCGCGGGGCTTGAAGAAGACGAGGTTGCTGATGACTCGGAGTCTGAAGCTGAGGAATCAGATTCTTCGGACAACGACTCTGAGGATAGTGAAGATGAAGATGAGGAGAGAGGGTCCGGCAGGAATCGATTCGGTAATGCGTTCCAAGAGGTTGTCAGGGAGACGGGAGCACGAGTAAGAATGGACAGTTTCGAGGCCTGTGTGATTGAGATTAAGAAGGAGGATCTCAGTGGGTTTTTGGAGAAACTGAGTCAGAAGGCTGTTGTTGGGTAGATGGGTGGATACCGCGCTCTACGTATGGAGGGTTTTCTTTGTGTCACGTACTGGTTTGGACAGCGGAAGGCGATGATTTGGATTTGAGTTGGTAAGAAAGGCAAGGCAAGATACCACTTTTGCAGGAGGAAAGGTTGGATTTTGGGCACAGCGCTTTTGCATGATTTGGCATTTTTGGATGGGGATATCCGCAACTTCTTTCTTCTATTGATTCAGGCATATTTGTAGGCAGGGCGAACGATGTACAAGCGATGATATTACAAGAGCACTTAGCATAGCACAACCACAACCACAATCAAAACACAGCATAGCATTACAAGTAAGCATAGCAAGCAAATCGTATTCATGCATAACATATCCAATTTCAACCGCTGAGGAGAAGAAAGGAAAGTGGTATCTTTAGTACTAACGCACAAGCAAAACCGACACAGCGCTCATCCAAACGACCATCACGACCAAAAACTACTTGGTATACGAGCGCTCTTTCCTTCCTCCCATTGTTAGGCCCTCGCCATCTTCGCCGTCGTCCCAGCTGCCTTCTCCACTACTCCTTCTTTTCCTCGTCCGCTGCTTGACACCATCTGTTAATCTCCTCTTGACCTCATCAAGGTTGCCATCAATAGTACTGAAGGGCTTGAGCTGGAAGCCGCCCAGGTTCGCACTGCTGCTATTCCGGCTGCGGCTCTTCTTCGGCGTCTGCGGTCGACTAGAGAAGAAGTCTTGGTTGGCAAGGTCGTGGAACGATTCGTTGCGTGGTATCTCGTTGATGGAGCCGGGTGACGCGGGGTAGTCGTAGGTTTCGATGTCCTGGCCTGCTTCTCTTTCCGCGTCTTCGTCTGACTTTTGCGGTGGTGTGCGGGGGCGCTCTTGCTTGACGAAGGGATCTTCGACAATGCGTTTCGAGTGGAAGTCTTCGTACATCTCCGGACCTAGTTCGTTGATGATGTCGTTCACACGCTGTGCGAGGTTCTCACGGCGCTCTTGTAATTTGACGAGTTCGTTGTTGGAGAAGGGGTTCATCATCTTCCAAAGGGGACCGAGGGACTTGAGGATGTCCATGGCGACTTCGCCGAATCGGAGAGCGCCGTATGTGAGGGTGACGTAGACGACGAGTTGGGGGATGATGAGCCAGCGCTTCTGGATGCCAGCAGGAAGGTATCCGTTGCATTGGTTGTAGGAGTACCAGTAGAGTCCTAAGCAGACGTACCAGGCGTAAGCCGTCGGGGCGGCAGCCATGGCAACGAGAAGTTTCCACGTAGCCATGACATCTCTTGCTTGAACTTTGACGTTTGATGCAGCGAGTGCCTCTCTGGCCTTCTTGATCGAGACAACCTTAGTGACAATGAAGACCAAGCTGAAGAGCAGAGTTCCGGGAAGGACGAGCATGCTCAGGAAGAGCAGCTTTCCAAGACGGTAGAAGAAAAGCCCAAATGCCGTGATAGGATGCATCTTTGCATATTGCACCTGGTGATCCCGGAGGCCGAGCGCCTTAAGCTTGCCGTTGTAGGTGGTGACCTCCTTCTTGAGTTCGACAATGCGAGGGTCGTCTTTGTAGCGTTCGTAACCCTGGACGAGGCGGCGATTAAGCTCCACGATCCTGGGAAGAGGAAGCTTCGTGCCTTTGGAGTTGTAGAGGCGGCGCACAGCTTGGATGACCTAGAAGGGTCAGCAATGAGAAAGACTATGGGTTCGTATTGCACATACCATGAGTGTATCGTAGTCGGGTGTTGTGACCGTGACGGAGATAAGACCCTGACGAATGGTTTCCAGCATCTCGCCGATGGCCTCGCGTCTGCCAGGGCCATCGAACTTCTGGGCTAGCTCAGGTGGGACGTGGATGGGCGTACCGAACTCGATGACGGCCCTTGACCGGAATTTGTGGGCGTGGAAGTAGTTCATGCCGACGGGAATGATGTTCAGATTGCAGTCAGGCTTCGTTTGCACTGTACCGAGCGCCATGATAGCAACACCAGCTGGAAGGTGTTAGTACATGGGAAGTTCAAGCTGTGCGATGACTCACCTTTCAGAGGAAGAAGATCAGTTCTGTCGTGACTACCGCCCTCAGGGAAAATACCGATGCTTCCTCCGTGGTGGAGAACCGCATGTACTGCGTCGTAAACTTCTGTCTGATCGAGCTTGGGCGCTACCTGGAAGGGTGTTCCCTCGTACCCATCAGCGATACCCTTCTTCGCATTGGCCCCGTCCACGAATGTGCCGTCCTTGGTCATGTCGTTTCGCCCAGTCATCTGCTGCATGGCAACACCTCCCTTGAAGCCACGCTTCAGCCTGATCTCTTCCGGGCCCTTGATCTCGAGTATCTCAGCGGTTGCCGCCTTGTTGTCCACTTTAGGCAGTACGAGGGAGCCGCCGACCTGGAATTTCTTATCTTCAAAGTTGGTGCCCACACCCCGAACAAGCGTCGGGTCGTTGATGGGATCGGGGAGGTATATCTTGCCCTCTGCAGGCTTCGTCATGTCCATGGCTCTTCCTACAGGCACGACACCTGTCAAGCCAGCCATTGCGCCTACGAACTTGCGCTTCATCGATTTATCGGCGATTAGGAATTGGATTCGGCGGTCGGATTCTTTCTTTACGACTCTCATCAACATGAGGGGGTCGACAAACTGCCGTCTGTCAGCGTACATCCTTCCGCCACATGTTTACGGCATGTCCTACCTGGTTCGCATGCGGGGCGCACACGAAGATAACGGGGCCTTCCTTTGGCACCTTCCAACTACTCCTGGGATGCACTTCGCGGAAGAAGAGCTCCACCAGGATCGAGAACGTCCACAAGAAGGCATCGTACACGTATTTGTTCATGACGGCGAGCTTCTTGCCCTTCGCGTCTCTCTTCTGGGTCGCCATGGCGGCTACCTAAACCACGATTATGCTGCCGGCGGATGTAAAGAATATCGTATGCGCCGCCAGGAGGGCGAGGTTGGCGTAGCCTCCTATGGCTGGTGGTGCGTATCCGTCCGCGGACGCGATGGCGAATGCGACAGGAAACGAGGGGTGACGAGACACGAAATACGCGCACGGCGGAACAGGGTCGCTGACGATGAAGCTGCGTTGGAAGCTACGGTATTATCCCTCGTTAGCATCAGAGCGCAGACTCAGACATGTTGTCACGCACCTTCACGTTCTAGCACTTTCTCTATGTAGGTCGCGTGCAGAAGAAGAACATCAGGCCACAGTAAATGGAAGTTCCGAATCCGCGCGGACCTGGATAGCCGATACCCGACGAGCGCTGGCTCTGGTGAGGAAATCAAGCTTTCAGCAGCGCATATCCGCAGCGCTATTTTCGTTGTTGAGCTCGGATATGTGGAGGGTTGCAGATAGGGCCGGGGAAGTGGGATGGTTGCTATGTCATCGCACATTAATTGTTGGCGGCCCTTTTCTAGTGGGGTAGCAGCCAGCTGAGCCCGCTCCACCAAATGTCACGGCTGAGGATGCGCCACACCGATGAAGGCATATGGCAGAAGTTTACCTGCATTGTTACGCTATTGGAATCATAAATTGATGACTGAGTCAAAATCAAAATTACACATGTGGATAGTCAGATGAAAGGACCATTATACATTCCAATCTATCAGAGGGTGCCGTCAAGCGGCCCGGGAATATGGCGGTCTATAAAGTAAGAAGGGTATATATGTACAGTAAAGAAGATGAAGACAAGATACAATGTGCAGATTAAGGCTTACACCATAGCAAAGGCCATCGCTGCCACCAAAACGGTGACAACAGAGGTGCTGACGGTGAGGGCAGAGCCAGCGCCGAGGAACTGCTCTGGAGATGTCGGGTTGGGCAAGCTGGTATTAGCAGCTGGCGCCGACATCAACGTGGTAGTAACAGGAGGTACAACCGGAGCTGGCGAAGAGTCTACGACGAGGCCCGTGGTCGCCGAAGCTGCCGGTACGTAGACAGTCTCGGTCACGCTGGGCGTGCAGCTGCTTGTCGCGGAGGAGCGAGCGAGAGTCACAGTCCGAGTCACGCTGCGGGCGCAGCTGCTGGATGAGCCTCCGTTGGACTGACTAGCAGGCTTGCCTGAGGCCGAGGGTTGAGAGCTTGAGACTGATGTGCTTGTTACGACGACGACTGAGGAGACAACCTGTGTGGAGACAGGAGCTTCATCAGCCTCCGGGAACTTGGGAACGATGTTGTGGTTGTCGTTCGAAGGCGCCTCGGTGGATGGGGCCTTGCTGGGTGCAGGGCTCTCGCTGGTGGCGCTTGAGGAGGGAGTAGCTTCGCTGGCAGCTGGGACTTGACTAGACATAGAGGTGGCTGAAGAAACGGCGTCGCTTGTCGCAGGAGCAGATGATGGGGCCGGCGTAGAGCTAGGCTTGGTGGAAGGGCTGCTCGATGGCTTCGGCGCGCTGTTGCCCTTTGCAGGCAGGGTACCCTTTTCGATCATCAAGAGTGCCTGGGTGACCTCCAAGGCCGACAGCTGCTGGCCGACGCCAGAGGTGCCGTCCCAGCTTCCAGTGTACCACTTGCTGCCGCATGTGACGCCGTCAGTACCTCCAGAGCAGGCCTTGGCGGCACCGACAGCGGAAGCCTTCAGCAACGGCACAATCTTGTCCTTGGTGAAAGGAGCGACCATGGCAGTCTTAGCAATGAAGCGGGAAAGGTATGCCTTGAACGATTGCTGATCGAGGTTGCAGTGTCGGCCAGATTCGCCCGTCTCGCAAGCCCACTCGTACATGATGTCTGTGGCGTTCTCGTAAGGGCTGAAGAACAGCACTTCAGCATGATCCAGGAAGCCGGAAGTACGATCCTTCCAGGTGCTCTCGCCGTTGGTGTAGTCGTACATGAAGGCCGATCCATGGAGATACATGGCATTGTTGTAGCTCCACTGGGTCTTGTCGGCGACTGTGGCGCAGTTGGTCTTGTCGTCTGTGCCATCGAACACCTCGTACTGGTCGCTGATAAGTCCAACCTTCTTTGTCCAGTCGTAGATTTTGACAGCCCAATCCGCGTACTTTTGCTCGCCAGTGTAGCGAGCAAGGCGCGCACCGAGAGCGAAAGCGCAGCCGTTGGAGATTGAGTTCTTGTAGTTGTAGCCGTAGCTGTTCTCAGGGTACACCTGCCACTTCAGTCCTCCACCGCAGCTTGTCTCGTCCCAGCGTCCGACAATATTCTCGAAAGCGTTGGTCACGACCTCGAGGTAGCTCGCAGGCGCATCTGCGGGATCGGGGAACTGGTATTCGACCGCGCTCATGACGGCAAGCGCCCAGAAAGCCTGGTCATCGTTGCCAGTTTCTCCTTTGCGGTAGGAGAGGATGAAGTCGTTGTCGGGGCCGTAGTTGGCGGTCAATGCCTGTTGGAGCGTCTTGACGTGTGAGTCGTCGCCGGTGAACTGGCTGTACTCGATCATGCCACCCCACGCGGCGCCACCCTCCCACCAGTAGTGGGGCTTGGGCCAGACTCCGACACCCTCGATGGATGTGCCTGTGGCGTTGCCCTGGTACATCGACATCAGTCCGTACGCGTATTGTCGAGTGACGGCGAGGATTGACGCTTCTGAAGGTTAGCTTTGTAGCGCGGTTGCTGCGAATATCCTCACCTTCATCCTCGGGGTCGAACTTGATACCGCCGGCGGTCGCTGTAAGGGCACTAAGGAGCACTGCTCCAGTGGTGGTAAAGTACTTCATATTGGTTGAGAAACGAATGAGTAGAGTTCAAAAGAAGGTAACGACAAAAAGTCAGAAGAGAGAAAGGGAAGAAAAGAAGGACTGTATAGCGCCGAGGCTGCAGAATGTGAAGGAGAGCAAGGCACGCATGGTGAATGCCGGGAGTAGGGCTTATCTAAGATCGAACTCGCGTGGACCCATATTTCTTCGGTGAGGACAGTCGGGGAAGGAGCGCGCGGGTGCAGCAGGGATTGGGTAAGCGGGCGTTTCGAAACGCAGGAACGGATTTGGTGTCGGCCAATGGCTAACTAGCACGCATGTTTCAGGTCGGCGGCTGCGCTGCTTTTGGGCCTCCATTTTGGCGCCACTGTACGGTTGTCCGGGCGGCTTGTCCTTCATTATTTGGCCTCCTCAAATCCCTTGTGTTCACTGGCCGTGCCGACGTGCCGTTACTTTGCTATTGTTTGGCTGCTAAGAAAAGATCGTCGCGTGTCGCAGTGCTCTCACGACCAACACCAGGACCGACTGCACGACTATCTCTTACGCTACGGATGATCAGCTAGAGGTACACTACCCGCACGAATGAGGGGCGATCGGGGCCGTCGTAGTGCTAAGAGCGCGGGGATCATCACAACCATAAGCAACAGGAAAGAATATTGAATAATGAAAGTCAGCTTACGGACCCATGGCTCGCTCATGAGGCGGAGTTTAATCAAAATCCCCCAACTCATGCCTCGGCCCGTCTGCGATCATGCACTGAGGCGTCTCGTCCCAGGTCTACCCAGAACGCCCCCATATATGAATAGTACGCGAAAGTAACACAGCCACTCAGTTGACCCCCACAAGCCTCTTCTCCTTCTTGTCCTTCTCTGATTCGCGCAGTGCGGCGATCTCCTCTCTGGTCATGTTGTACGATGCGTTGACTTGGTTGAACGGGTTTTCGGGGTGCTTCTCGAACTCCTTGCGGATTTGGTCGATCTTCTGCTGTCGTCGCAGACCCTTCTCGTCCTTCATCTCGTCCAGTCTTCGTTCCTCAAACGCAGCGTATGCGGCCTTGAAGCGCCTCTCGGGATGGCGGTCCACCTTGTCCTGGCTGTTGCCTGTGATATCCAGAGCGTCGAGGGCGTTGTCGATACCGGTGGCGTTGAGCGCGCCAGGCTTCGCGTCGAAGGAGCCGAGCGCTGAGTCGATGCCGCCCCCGCGGGGTTTCTTCTCGGCTTTGGGGTTCTTGCCCTTGGGCTTGGAGGGCAGGGAAGCCTCCTCTTCACGGAGCAGGGCTTCCTTCTCAGCCTTCTTACGGGCTGCTTCAGCGGCCTTTTCTGCTGCGGCCTCGCTATGATATGTTAGCTGCTGTGTAAGTAGGGGCGGAGATGCACGTACGCCTTTGCATTTGACTTTGCGCCCTTGTTCCATTCCTCTGCCTCTGCCTTCTCAGCTTGTTGGTTCTTTGCAGCCTGCTTCGATGCAGCGGCGTCTGCCTTGCGGGCTTGTCCTTGTGCCTTCTTCGAGCCCCCTCCATCGCCGCCGGCCGCGCCCTTTTTCGCCATTGTGTTGTGAGGTATGCGAGATCGTATTTGTTTCCAAAGTGGATGGACGTGGTGCGCGAGTATTTCGACGTGTGGTGTGTAGTTGCGAGTGAGTCAAAGTTTGGTATGCGGCGCCTGACAGCGGCTTGCGGGCATCAGCGGGGCACAATGGCGTCAGACAACACCGACACGCGTGAATGACTAAGCAAGACTGAAGGCTCTTTCCACGCGTACTCGCAAACGTCTTCGCTCTTGTTGAACAGATGAGATGCTATTCAGTTCGGCTTACAATCACCTTTCTATATACATCAGGAACAAGTAATACCTCAATAAAGGGAACTTGGCTGTTTCAGAGCCTGCGTTTCTGTTCATGGAATATCTACCTTGCCAGGCCTCATGGTCGGATGCAAAGAACAGACTGTTATACAATCCCCTCTTCTTTCTCTCTCCTTAGGTGCTCTCTCCTCGCTCGCATCGCGTTACCGGGAGTGAGCTGCTTCAAGCCAAGCCATGGCGAGTTGATAGGACTGGGTCCCGTGTAGATGAAGATGTCGTAGAGGAATCCTCCAAACGCGCAGCCAAGGAATGGTGCCACCATCGGGATCTAGACATGGTCAGCAAGAGCTATCAGCGCCATCAGAAGACATACCCAGAAGTAGTAGCCGCCAGCGGACCACACCTCATGACCATACCCGACCGCATAAGACATCAGTCTTGGGCTAAAGTCACGAGCGATATTGATCGCATAACCAGTCTGCCAGCCGAAGCAAGATCCCAGCCCGAAGATGAGGAAGAATAGGCACAGTGGGAACCATTTGTCGGACTAGAGGAAGGTCAGCACATTCCTGCTGATCATTCTAGCGGCCGTACCTTCGGAACACCATTATTGCTCGGGTCTTTCAACGCGAAGATGACGAACATCAACAGTGTACTTGCGATGAACTCAGAGAAGAACTGGCTGGTCTTGGTAAGAAATGGCTGTGGGTAGGTGCAGAAGATGTTCGCAGTAGCCTTCTCAGCCGGAGGCACTGTTCGCATCTTCCCGCCCTCGAACCAGTCGATGGAGCTGATGTAATTCGCGTATACGATCCCGGACCCGACGAAACCGCCAAGCATCTGCGCAGCAAAGTACATCGGGAACCGCCGCCACGGTAGTTGACGAAAGATGCAATTGCTGAGAGTAATCGCCGGGTTTAGGTATGCACCAGAGTCGCCTGCTACGTACAGCCCAAGCATGACGCCCAGGCCCCAGCTTCTTCGAGTTAGCATACCTTGCGATGTTCCAATACTTCGATGTTCGACTCACCCCCAGTTGATGGACTGATACTGCCCGAACCCATTACCACCTGGAGCCGTCGTCTGTCCAGTCGAAAGCAATACCTGCGCAACCGCTCCATCACCGAACATCACCATTATAGCGGTGCCCCAGAACTCCGCGAACGGCTCCCTCATTACCGTCCGTATACGCGACCAAAGCAACTCCGACGCCGCACCATGGTCATGCTCTTCGTCGATGGGTGCTTGAGGATGCAAGCCAAGTACCGATCGCTTCCGTTGAGCGCTCGAAGACGTTCGATGGGCCGAGAGTTCAGAACTGGTAGAATGCGCCGAATGCTGTGTTTGCGCTTGCGTCAAAGGCGTGGCACTCGTACCAGACGTAACACTGTGTAGACGATCATCAGAGCGGTCGTCTGCCCAATCCCGTGTTATCGACGGTCCTGGGGCCATAGGTCCTTGAGATGCCATGCTGAACACACTTCAAAGCAACACTAAACGAAGAATGAGGGACAGTCTAATCCAAAGCCTGTTGAGCCTCAAGACCAGTGCCAGAGCGAGGAGGGTACTAGCAGATGCACAACAAATAGTCTACTAGGCGGACAACGACTGCTTAAGCATGTCTCGTCGCATGCCCTCGGCTCTGTATACCCCGTATGCTAGAAGACGTCACAGCACAATTCCCCATCTTGATGCCAACGCCATTGGAAGCCGATCTCGTACTTCCCCTCATTCCACTAGTCAGATCTCCCAGATTAGGGGGAGGGTGCCCGCGCCATAAGCTTGGGACGTGACTGTTGTGCGCTAGGCATGACGTCTGTCAAGGCTGGAGGCGTTATTTCCGTGGGAGGGGCTGGGGCATGGGGATCTTCATGGGATTGTGGAATAGTGTGGTTAACTCGTGGTCGAATGGATAAAATTCTGGATATGTACCATTGCTGAAGGTGAAATCGGATTGAACTGATGTCCCATTATTCCCGAAGAAAGAAGTGGGCTCTGAATCTGGGGTGCAGATGCGTCCACGGGTCCGGCGATCGCGATGTCCTTTAGCGCGAAGTTTGTCAACCACCATCTAGTCAATGCTCGCCCATTGACCGCCTATGCCGTTCTCCTATTCTGATGTTTCCCATACGTTCTTTTTAACAAGTTACTCACATGAAGTACACCTTCTGTTTTGTTGATCAATATACTCACAAGGCTTGAGCAATGCAGATAAGCAAGCATGATGTCATCATGCTGCGCATGAGGTGGCAGCTGCCTTGTCATATACTCCGCACTCACCTACGTTCTACTCATCGAAACCTCAAGCTTTCATCTGATCTTTACTCGAGTTATTCCTCTAATGGTCATCTAAAGGCTGATACTCTTCCAACTCAGCATCGTCCGTATGTCCAAGGGGTCCTAGCCCCGCATTGGTCTACAGTGGCTGGTGGCCTTATTATCTGCACGAAGAGTCTCATACGCGTGGTCGCCCTCCAGATCGCACAAATTTGTCACGCCATCGAGATATGGTGCAGTGTGCACTTTGCAAATCAGTCGCAGACGCGATAGAGAAGAAGACACCCCATCCCAGAGAGTACGTGTAGGAAAATCGCGATGTCCAGGAGAACGCTGGATGTGTTACATGCCAAAAAATAGCGCTTAGGTTCGGAATTCATACATAAGCCAACTATGTAGGAGAATGGGTCGGCTTTGTCTACTACCGCAAATCCGATGGTGATTGGACGTTACGAATTATGGGCGAGAGAATCGAGGGTGAGGAGATACTTTCCGGTTGGTTACTCGTGGAAATTCAACCAATTCCAAATGCGTCCGGATTTTCCCTGTTCCACCAAGAAATCAACATCGGGGGCATTAAGACATGGATCAGTAGTTGCGAAAAGGACCACGGTGGCGTATATCATACAATCAAGAGCCCAGGGACTAAGATGCCGGATACCACAGACTTGAGATTCATCGACGTTGAGAAACTTTGCCTCGTCAATCAATCACAGCATGGCGGCGACTATCGATATGGTAGTACTGTACTGTATTGGTATCTGCCAGGCTGCCCCTTCACAGCGCGAAGTCCAGCGTCATCAGTATGCGAGACAACGACAAGGACTCACCCCGCCGCAACTATCTACACCATGCGCTCTCCAGGAGCCAACATCTCCTCCTCGGAGTCAGACTCGACCTTGTCGGGAAGCCTTGTCTTCCTCAACTTCTTCTCCACCCTCTCCATCGCCTCACCCCCAACCGGCATGTCGGTGTCTACGGCCTGCTCGGTGGCCTTCGTGTTCTTCCGCTCGGACTGGCGGCGGTCGTTGAAGCCGGCCTTCCGCTTCCTTGCCGGAAGGGCGCCTTCCTTGTACTCCTGGACATGATTAGCATAGTTCCCAATTCGTCAAAATGGCTTCAAAGAAAACTTACATCTTCATTGAGAGGATGCAGCAGATCCCGAATCACCCTCACCACATCCACCGCAAACACCACACCAAGATTCTTCTTCGTCCTCTTGTCGATGTTCCTCAATTCTACCGCCGAATTGATCTGGCCGCCCATGTAGTCGCCCTGGCCCTGCGTAAACTCCGACAGAACCGCCAGAGTCGCCAACAGGCGCAAGTCCCAACTCGCCGCGTCGCCAGCGGGACGGAAGGTGCGGCCGCCGTACATAGGCGGAGGAGGAGGGAAGGAGGTCATGTCGACGCCCCAGTTGTCGTCGATGAGCGCGAGTGACGCGGAGGCGGGGTGCGTAGTCGCCAACTTGTTGTTGGGGATGCTCGCGAGGGTGTCGAGGAGGTCGCGAATGCTCTTGGGTGCCATGGTGACTTGTACACCGTCGAAGGGCTCGCCGCGAATTATATCGCGCTTCTCTTTGCGGGTGAGATCGGAGAATGTAGACATGATGTAGACAAAAAAGCTTTAAAGTGATGATAGCTTGATTGTATGTGGGTGGCTAGAGGAAGCAGAATTACGACCAGAAGAAAGTTTTATATGGACCAGGCTCCAGTGCGTAAAAGTCCTGCAGTGAAGGAGAGTAGTGAATTCCCCTTCACGCTCACATTCACTTCATATTCACGTCAAATTTCCACACTCACTGCGACTACAATTAACGTATACTCACGCACTAGGACTGAATCAGGTAGGAGCAAAAATGAGGCTATCTCTGATTTTGAGTGAAGGCGAGTGAAAGGCATCAAAGTGAGCAAAAAAGAGCAAAAATAAATAATCACAACACTGCGGTAGACTATGAGGATCGAACTCACTCACCGAAATGGCTGTTATCGACGGTATTACCAAGGTCAACCCAAGGTACACATCCAGGGATTAATAGGCCACTCGGAGTCGTGTTGCGATGGAATACTGCTCAATTAATTGATATATATACACATATCAGAAGTCGTAGGCGAGTTTGTTGTGGGGAGATATAGGTCGAATTGAGAGCAAACGCGGTGGTGCGGAGAGTGAGCGCGCACATGCGACATTGACGCAAACGGCGCACACCAACCTTAGCGAGGAGGCTGTCGCTACATTATAGATTGACGGACAAGAGATATCGATAGAGTGGGGAATATCTCATCTCAGTCCCAGGCGGTGGAGGTGAGTAGACAACAGAGCGAGGAGGATATCAGTGCGACCCCCAGCAGTGGAGAGCTAGGACATGAAGGACACTGAGGATGACATGGCAATGAGACATATTCAATCCGCTGTGCAGAACGTGGTGAAGTATACTAGGCTTTGTCATGAACAGCTTTGGCTATGACCATCTAAGCTTGCCCAGGTGTATTTCTATTGGGGGAGGAGGTATTGTGTCTGCCAGTACACACGAATTCGATATTAACCGACGTGCAAAGACTCGATGAGCAATCGTCCCACTGTCTAACCAAAGATTACCATCATCAAACGCCTTGCTGTCCGGTTTAGGACTACTATAAGCAATCGCCCTCTTATTCTGTCTGAGATCAACGTAAGCAATCACCCACTTGTCTAGTCCAAGACTACTATAGGCAATTGATCTCTTGTCTAGACCAAGACTTCTATAAGCAACCGCCCTGTTATATAGCCTAAAACTACCATACATACTCACCGTCTACCAGTTACAGTAGAGTAAGGACAACATGTTCTGCCTCTCAGGGACGTGCTCAGAAACAGACTTATGAATGATCGACATATCTGATGGTTGCGATATCTCTAATCCTAGGAATACCTTTACGTATGGGATGGTTGCGGGGATCATGAGTGGCTCGTCGGTCTCTGTCACCGCAGTACCAGTGTGAGCAATCGACGATGGGTACTTGGTAGAAAAGGTATAAGTATGATCTTCAAACCTCGCAACAAACTCCACTCACATTCTCAACAATATCAACGACAATCATCCGACTCAGGAGGACCATCAACATGCATTCCATCCAATCTATCAGCCTGGCGTTCATCGCCCTCCTCGCCACGGTACACCTCCCCTTTCCCTCGTATTCACCCAGTGCGCCAAAACAAGACTAACGTCGACCTCAGACCAAAGCTCAGGTGAGCCTTGACGACGGCGGTACCTTCGGTGGCTGCCCCGGAGGCTGCTGCATCCCTGTCTGCAACTTCATCGTCGGCGACCAAGATTCTCTGGGCGCATTCGGAACAGTGGATTTTGCTGGCACATGCAAGCAAAATTTCGATATGAAGAACGGGGGTACTCAAGACTTGGATGACGACTACCAGGCAACTTGGGTCTACGAGCAGAATGGGCCTGGTTCCGTTGCCATCGATCTATTCCGCAAGAGCGACAAGATTTACAATCGTTTCGAGGTTTCCAACTGCCAGTTGGCTAGTATTGGTGGGACGCAGTGCGCTCCTGCTGACGGAGGCTGTGTAAGTTGTGGGTCGTGAGAAGTGAGCGCTGTGCTAACGGATGCGTGTAGGACTTGAAGTTGATCCTCACTGAGGCTCAGGGTTAGAGGAATGACAGTACTTACGGCGGTATGTGGAAGATGTTGCTATTGAGATGGTGACAGGGTCGATGTTCATCGACTACTCGCCAAAAGCTTCTACTTCTTGGGTACAATCTTTTGGCACTACACTCGTTTTATGAACTACTATCAATGAATTGTCACTTCCCTGGCACATACCTTTGAGATGCGTTCATGTCTGCTTGTGTTCACTCGCCACACGCCTACCGCTATGCATATAACATATGCCGAAGTAGCTGGCGAAGCATTTTATTAGTAGCGCTGATGTGCAGTTTCACATCAGACCAGGATCCCACCACCACACCACCACACCACCACATCCCCATCGCCTCTCCATCTTGAGTATGTCTTCTTCTTCGTATACGTATGAAGAGACAAACCATGAAACACGCAAATCACATCTGACACACCCGTTGAACCAGTATCTCGGCTTTCGTGGAAAGGAAAAAGCATATACGCGGGAAAAGCAAAAGTCATACAGTAGCTACCGCACACCCGGGTAACAGTTTGCAGCGGCTCATGCCGATGCATATGCAAACTCTGTGGGTTTAAGCGTCTAGATGTGCGTTAGCTTCCTGTCACATGCTTGATTAACGTGTTGAGCGTGGTTGTGAGGGACGTTGAGGCTGTTGAGATGGTAGAGGATCTACAGTTCTGTCAATAGACTTGCTCGATATGAACAAGTATTCCCACGAGAGTTGATACACCCGGTTCAACGTGTTGGGGTAGGACGGTGAAGGAGATGCGCTTCTTCGTTTCCCGGGCACGTAGATGGAGGATGGAGGATGAAAGGTAATGCGACAACCGCGATGATATATCGACATGTACATACTATGCCATGTCTCGAAGCAAACGTATTGCGTGATCAGTACACGTTAAACACACCCTGGCTACGCTCTGCTCGAAGTAGGGGAGAGGAACGGAATGCCAACTCCTGCTCTATCAGCCTTACCTCCACGTACACCGGCATACCTGAACCCAGTAAACGATACAGAACAGCCGGATCTTGCCCTCACCGCCATCTCACACTCTCCTCCCGTGTCTCTATACCATGTGGGACCTACGTGGTTAACAGCGAACGATCATACTTTAAACACCTAGCTACCTCCGTCCATGCCTCTACTCCTTCCTAACTTGGTCAGGCGTACCGTTACCCGTGCAAGTGTACCACTGAACTCATCTGTTCAGACCCTGAACAGCGCCACAGCAGTCCAACAGTACGCTGCAACATCAACTTCCTCCCTAGCCGCATTGTCCGTCGCATACACCAGCAACAAACTCAACTTGTCAGCGGCCCCCAACGCCACGCGGCGCCCGGGAGATGTCCAGCCTGCATAGCTAGGCTTTCGCGACACTGGATACGAAGAAGTGTAGAACTCCGAGTGGGGCCGTATATGAGCTGAACGATTGGCATGTATGTGAGCATGCATGTTTCACATTTCCCTTCTCTTTTGTTTCTGCTAGTGAGTGCGGTGCCAGTGCTAGTGGCGGGGACGCGCCGCAGGAAACGTGGACGATAAGATAGCGAAGAGCGTGTTGTTCTCGCGTGGTACACTACGAGTAGATGCAGGTAATCGGTTTCAGCCACCCTGTCTGCGCGCTTCTGCGAACGTGTGGATAGCTCGGGGACCGAGGGTCGGCATTGCGCGTCTCGCGACGGGCGGGAACTGAGAGGTCAGAACTTCTAGAGTCTGTTGACCAACTGGCCACGTGTGACTAAGGTGAACGGAAACTGTAGCATGGGGTTAGTTGTCCGAATGACGTGTCTTGACAGGTGTTGCGAGCAAGATGAATGCCGTGGTAGAGTGATGTGTCTGCCTGGCGACGCCGTGGGCTGTGCCTCAGCACCGTCGAAAATGTCAGATGCCTTTCTCATCGCTGCCAAAATGTCGCAACACTTTCCACAACATCAACATTACCAGTCGCATGCAGCGCATAAGATAGTCGCCATAATATCAAGCATGACTGTTGTGTTATGTTGTTGGTGCCGCGAACTCTTGACGCCGCGACACCCAACGCTCGCCCGGCACTCTGATCGGCAAACCTGATCTCCTGCGCTGCGCACGCAGCACCAACCGAGAACGCGTTTGATCGACAGGCACCACATCCGCACCAGCGCAATGGTGCCGACTCATCCTCCGACCGAACCACGCTCCAACATAACTTCGCGCCCGCTGCCAATCCAGACTTTTTCTGACGGACTAGCACGCGCGTACTCAGAAACGTTCGGTGGCTTTGAACTTGTTTCGGCGGCTTGGAAAGAAGAACGTTGGGGCGTTCTTGGTGTCATTTGGTTTTTTCGCGTGGTAGCGAGATTGTGTTTGGGATTGTTGGGTGAGGGGTGCCTGTGAGGGGGAACCGCTGGTGCTGAGGGGTGTGTACATGGGTCCCCGCTCCCATGGCAGATTTGTTGTTGTTGCTGTTGTTATGGACGACGATATTTGCAATCAACGAAAGTGCGTAGGGCGGACATTGATTTCCGCAATTCCAACATTCCGCCTCATGGCGACATGATTGAGTCATCACTACGATCGGTATGGCCACTTCCACCTCGATTCGAAGCAGATACCACGTCCGTCATGTTGCATGCCTGCTGCCCGATCTGACCGATATCTCCACCCGCTCGCGTGTCTCTATGACCTCTGATCGCCTGTACCCTGTCAACGGGTGTGTAGTCGCAAAAAGAAGATTCTGCCAGGAAGCACTCTTCCATCATCTAGCAGCCAGTCGAGGATATAACCTCGAGGTATGACTGGTAAATACGCTCCACAGCACCACAAATCCCTTCCACAAGCGAAATTACCTGTAGTTGTCTAGAACACATCCGCTTGTTGGTAGTCTTACACCTAGTGATGTCACACCAACCCGGCTCCGAGTAGGTATCGATAAGCGGGTAACACTTGCGAACGTCTTGTATGAGCTTTTCGTCGCCGGCTCCGCACGACGTTGCGCTTTTCGTATGATTGGTTTGTGTGGAAAATCATGATGGTAGTGTTGTAATGTCCGCCAATGGGAAGTTTTGAGCGACAAATGCAGGACTTGTCGGTCCGGCAGATAATAGTAATCGTATGGCTGACTGAACTAGAGAGCATGTGTGTCGCCTAGAGAACGGCGGCAGGAACAAAAGGTGTCCGCATGCAGTAGTGTTTCTGTGTAGCTCTTGGTTTCGCAATGTCTCAGTTGGCGCATAGAGGCTGTGCTGTTGCTCTGTGCAAGGGCAGGTTGCTCGACCAGATGTACAATGTCGAGGGCGACACGCAGCACAACCATGAAAGAACCAAGACAAATGATGAAAGCACAAAAATGTCCGCGTCACTACTCTCGCTGGCCATGAGAGAAGGTCCAGCGGCCGGTGAGCAGACAGTACACATGGTTTTCGCTTACCGGTCCGTTTCTGCTCGGAGGAGCGTCACAGGGAAGATCCAGCGAACAGCGACCCACCACGTCGTGTGAGGCTTTTCTGGTCACGGCTGGCGGTGTCGCTGTACACCGTACTAGCAGTGGGTAGTCTTCCAGATTTTCACCATGCATATACCGGCTACCACGTTGCGATAAAGAACCTTATCGTCCCGCTGACGGCACCGGGGCTCCACAAACGTTGCATCGGCACATCTTGCTGATCCGTGAATGGAGAGAATCCTGCCTAGGTGCAGGTGGAAATGGGCGGGCAAAAAGTCGTCGTGTGGACGGTTGCGTCACGATCCTGCGGAAGGACTGCATGCCCTGACGGAGTTGGAGAGTTACGCATGCATAGCCGAGGGGGAAGACGTGTCCGGCTCACAGACTGTCGCGGCTGAATGGGGTGTACATTGTGTCTGCACACGGCAGTGACAGTGATAGATGAAGGTTGTGGACTCGTCAGGGCGACGGAGACTAGGCTCGTTGGGTGAAAACACGTGCCGGAGTGTGACAGGAACACGCAGGCAACGCGGCGCCGATGTGTGGAAAACGTTCTGGAATCTGGAGGGTCAGTATCCACGGGCGGCTGCCCCAATCACAGCTGTTTGGGTTCCACACTGTGTAGATCGCAATTGCGCGGCCTTCACGACGTCGCCCGCGGGTGCTGAGTCGAGTCCCGCGCCTTGGGATTGCGCACTGTCGTTGTGAAAGTCGAGCGACAACTCTTTGCTTCCTTGCCGCTTGCGAGTCTGGCCAAGGGGGACGCGGCTGCGACAGGCGACGAAGCGACGAAGAGAGATCAAAAGCGGCTGAAACCTCGGAGCGCCAACTGTGCCTGGCTCAGGCACACCAATGAGAAGCGCCAGCCAAGTCAGGATCGCGCGCTATCCAGGGGTGCAACATCCGGTGCAATTGGCCCTGACTAAATTAGTAACGGGGATAGTCCGCAGCGCGCTAGTCCAATTCTGTCTCCCAGGAGATGAGATGGGGGCAGCCCGGCTGAAGGGCCACTTACCTTTGTGCCTGGCCGCTTGTTTCCCTTTTCCTCCTTCACCCCAACATATAATCCACACATTGTCCCTCTTTTTGAAAAGGCAAATTCGCGCGTTCACTCTTTCACGCCCGTCTTGCGCCTGCTAGCTAGCTCACCCAGTCACTCATTACTCATACCTCAACTACTCGTTGACCAACCACTACCAGCGCATCACGACACGCCGTTGAACGACGTTACGACCTGTCCGCAGTATAAATACCAAGCGCTTACCTCACTCAATCACCCTCACGCAACTTCACGATGCGTTACTCTTCCGCCGCGGTGCTGAGCACCATCGTCGTTGGCCAGGCTGCTGCCGCCAACCTCCACAACCGTCACGCCAGCTTCCACGCCCGCCGTCAAGCGTAAGTAATGTCTGCGAGTCGACAACGAAAGCAGGTTGCTAACTCTTTGCAGTGAGGTCAAGCGCAGCGCTGCCAACGAAGTTGACTGGAGCAAGGTCGCATACGATCTGAGCGATGTGGACTGGAGCTCCGTCTTCGCCACCCCTACTCCTACTCCTGCTCCTGCAGCTGCCCCCAAGGTTGCTGAGGTT